TATAAGCTTTTCTAACCTAGAAACGGAAGACATCTGACATTCAACGGCAACTTATTAAATAGCTTTTGACACATGTATGTTGGACCCCGTTGCGTCATACTCAATCTACACTTATCAACATACACATTACAACGATTACGAGTTGCATATCTGTGAACATCAGCATGATTTAAAAGCTCGTCGAAATTGTTCAGAGCATACAATATACAATTTAGTATGTAAATAGATGGCAGGGTTAGAACGCCTAAACGCACGAAGATGTGTCGACAGTCCTCACTGTATCCCAGGCCTCCTACAACTCTTAGAGCCCTACGCTGTAAGTTAGAAACCCGTTTGCTAGCGGGAGTGTTTCCCCACGCTAAAATGGCATAAGAAATATGGCTTTGTATAAGCGCGAAGTAAGCGGTTTTCACTACTTCTACTTCCACCTTGACAATAAGGTTTCGTAGCAAAAAGATGTTTTTTGAAATTTTCTTACTTATAGCGTCAATATGATGATCGAACTTCAATATTGGAGTGGTTCCCAAGAATTTACCAAACGACGGGTTACCAAAATTAGTAAAATTAAAATTTCTCTGACTTAAAATCATTCACCATTTACGTGCTCTATCTAGAACCAATTCTGATCTTTGAATGACCTCTTCAGCTTCATTGCTTCGAATAATCAAAGTGGCATCGTCAGCATATAATAAACAGTCAATGTCCCTAAAATAATACTGAAAGTCATTGAAAAACATCAAAAATAAAAGAGGTCCAAGGATAGAACCCTGTGGAATACCCCAAGTCAAAGTGACTCTCTCCGTTGTCATTTGACCACAAGTCACCTGTTGCGTTCTGCCGGACAAATAAGATTGGATTAGAGCAACACTTTTGTCGTCAAAATTATAAACATTGCGAAGTTTATCAATAAGAATTGGATGAGAAACTGTATCGAATGCGCGAGACAAGTCCAAAAACAATGACATGAAGGTGCACCTACCCCTTCGAAAACCAAACTGATGAGGATGCAATAAATTATTTTGGTCCAAGTATGCGATGATTCTATTGAAGGGCCCTTTCAAATATTTTGGAAAAGGTGGGCAGGATACTTATAGGACGAAAATTAGCATTGTTGTTCTTATCTCCGCCTTTATAAATTGGAATTACATTAGCTATTTTTAATAAGTCAGGAAATACGCCAGATGAAAAGGAAAGGTTCACCAATCGTGTAAGGGGCGCCACATATAGACCGGTGTTACTTGTCACAAAGTTTGCAGAAATGCCATAAATGTCTTTAGAGTTACTAGATTTTAAACTGCAAAGCAGATCACGAACTTCAATCGGCGTAACTTCAGAACACGAAAAATACACGCCCTCTGGAGGCAGCGTGTGACAAACGTCCATAGCGCAAACAGCTGAATCTGGAAAACCTCGAAACACCTCGTCAGCAATGCCAATAAAAAAATTATTTAATTCATTAGGGTTTAAATGAGAAGTGTCATCATTCATACCACTACGCCTAGTATTATTAATAAGATTCCACATTGCTTTTGGTTTATTCTTGCACTGCTTAATAACTTTACTCGAAGCCTTCTTTTTTGCATCAGAAATCGCCTTTCTATATTGAATTCTAAGTTTATTTCTAGCATGAAGTAAGTCATCCGTTTTAAATTTTCTATAAAGCTCACAAGAAGAGTTATACGTTTCCCTTAACTGTTTCAAATCATTGTTAAACCAATTGAGGCCGTCATCACAAGACCTGAAATTTATTTTACATAGAGGAAAAGACGCATGAAAAGCCCCATAATATACTATACGGTATACTAGTAAACATATACAATATTTACGGTATACTATTTACGGTATACTAGTACTGGCGGATCATTACCCTTTAGCAAATCATTACAACCCCAATTACAAGAACATAATCGTTTTTATTATAATCGCGACATATCGTACCAATGCCGCCCAATACAGTAGCAAAATCAGCATTAGGCTTACATATAGTGAGTAGATCGAATTTTGTTTTGTCCAGGCAGCACTCCAAAAAGTCACTAGAACCTCGGGCATGGCTGTCCCCCAGGATTAAAACTTTCGATTTATCCATTGGTTGAGAAATATGGTTTATCCCAGGAGATTTCGATGCGGATTGACATGGTATGGATAGTTCGGTTGGTTTCACCATTGTGTTTTTCTCCAGTACATTGGGTATCTCTGCAAGGGCATTATAGTTGCATTTAGCCGTTTTCAGTAGTTTCGGGAGTGGTTTCTTCTTATTGACATCACTCGCAACCAGATTGTCTGACGATGCCTTCGATAACTTCATATTTTTGTTTTTGTTTTGAGTCTTTATATATTTTGTAAGCTGTACAGACAGCAAGTTGACCTTGTCTTCTAGAGACTTTATTTCATTTAAAACATTAAAAAAGAGTCTATTACGTTTTTTTGGTTTCCCTTTATTAACCACCGGCACCGTAACCACACTTTCCATTGTTTCATTCAATTCGTCAGATATATTTAATGATTCGTTTAAGTTATCCTGGTTGGAAATTAACGCATTTTTAAGTTTTTGCTTTAGGTGGCATTTAGAGCCCTCATCATTAAGTCCGAGTTTCTGTAACTCTTGTTTAATTTGGATAAGTCTTAAAGAGTCTATCTTTAGGAGAATTTCACTCATATTTATGTTTATTGAAAAACCAGGTTTTTTACGAGAACCGGATTTCTTGCGAGAGATATCAACCTCTATAATGTATACGATTTTNGAGAACAGTGTTTGCGTCTATATAATAGTTTTTATTTCTGGGACTAATCTTATTAAAGAAATCAAAAATTTTGCAGTTGAAATTATAAATGCTAAAATTAAGTTCCTTCTTATCATACCAATACGGAACGGACAAGTACAAAACATTACACTGACGAGCTACAGCCTTTAATTTACGGTATACTAGTGCTGGCGGATCATTACCCTTTAGCAAATCATTACAACCGCCAATTACAAGAACATAATCATTTTTATTATAATCGCGACATATCTTACCAATACCATCCAATACAGTAGCAAACTCAGCATTAGGCTTACATATAGTGAGTAGATCGAATTTTGTTTTGTCCAGATAACATTCCAAAAAGTCACTAGAACCTCGCGCATGGCTGTCCCCCAGGATTAAAACTTTCGATTTATCCATTGGTTGAGAAATATGGTTTATCCCAGGAGATTTTGATGCGGATTGACATGGTATGGATAGTTCGATTGGTTTCACCAATGTGTTTTTCTCCAGTACATTGGGTATCTCTGTAAGGACACTATAATTGCATTTAGCCGTTTTCAGTAGTTTCGGGAGTGGTTTCTTCTTATTGACATCACCCACAACCAGATTGTCTGACGATGCCTTCGATAACTTCTTGTTTTTGTTTTGAGTCTTTATATATTTTGTAAGCTGTACAGACAACAAATTGACCTTGTCTTCTAGAGACTTTATTTTATTTAAAAGATTAAAAAAGAGTCTATTATGTTTTCTTGGTTTCCCCTTATTGACCACCGTAACCACACTTTCCATTGTTTCATTCAATTCGTCAGATATATTTAATGATTCGTTTAAGTTATTTTGATTGGAAATTAACGCATTTTTAAGTTTTTGCTTTAGGTAGCATTTAGAACCCTCATCATTAAGTCCGAGTTTCTGTAACTCTTGTTTAATTTGGATAAGTCTTAAAGAGTCTATCTTTAGGAGAATTTCACTCATATTTATGTTTATTGAAAAACCAGGTTTTTTACGAGAACCGGATTTCTTGCGAGAGATATCAACCTCTATAGTGTATACGATTTTGGTACTTAAGTTACCGACACTTAAAGCTTAAACATTTACAAACATTTTAATTAGATGTAGTTAAACACTGTATAAAAACACTCTATAGCACAACAATAGAACCTTCTTCAAAGACATAGAGTCTTCAATTCGACTGATAATAATAAAACTTTGTCGTAAAATCAAAATAAATACGGAGCACTTACAGACACGTGTGTGTCGCTGAAGTTTTTGATTTATAATTTTTTTTATAAATTAAATAGATAAGTTTAAGAATAACAACACAGATTTAGAATGCCTTAATGATCAGATACTTTCTTTAAAAATCCCACTTTACAAATATTTAACCATTCCTTTCCCCCAAAATGCAGAGGATTAATGCATCCGGTCCCACCTCTTCCTAAATTTTCTTAAGTTTTTGAGTTTTCCTAATGTTTGATTTAAAGAATTTTCAAAACATTTTCCAGTGTGAATTTAAATTTAAAATCCGTCACCAAATATTTTATACATGCGCATTATATATTATTCTCTTACGAAGAAAAATAAGAAAGAAAAAAGAAAAAGAAAAACCTGAATTCAGACCATCTTATAACATCTACCACAAAAGATGTCCATGTGGAGTTGAATCTTTAAAGATTTAACAAAGGTTTTTACGTTTATTTTAAGTAATTTATGTGACAATAATAATTTATTTTGTTCACCGCTTTATGTTTTCGACTGTTAATTTCCTGTAAAATTTATTGGCTTGTAAGTATTTTTAAAAAACTTTTATTGTTAATTCACATATTTTAATTTCACTTATTGATTAAAAATTGTTAATTCTTGTAGTTGTCTCTGATGATGGCTTTTGCCCAAACTAGTTAGACAACAAAAATATAAATAAACCAGTAAAAGTACAACAAAATTCGAAATTTTTTCTATCACGAAAAAGAAATATTAAGAAACTTGTTTGTAAAATGGATAAGATGAGAGATGTTAATCTATTTGTAGAGTCTCTGAAGATGGCCAAGGGCCGAAACTGGTATTCTATATAAAATAAAAACCACTTTAAAAGTACAAAATCAAACTCTAGATTATTTTCTTCAAACATTTTTACGCGAATCGTCATCATTTTGTCTCTAGTTTTAGTGATTAAAATTATGCCACAACTTACAGAAATACCCTGTATAATCGTATAAGCGGCTTCTGTGCTTATGATAGCTGTCATCAGTGTTCTGTGATAAAAATGGACAGGCACCAAACAATTTTTAATAGTTTCAACCTGTCTACTCTGAGAAGATATTTTTAGAGAGATAAAAACGAAAATCACGTTTTTCTCAACATTATTCATTTGTCGCTTACTCAAGTGATGCATAACGCGGTCCAATTTAAAAAAGAAACGAAATAAAATTCCTTTATCCCAAAATAAAATAAAAAAAAACAAATCTCATCTGATAACTATCAAAAAGCGACTTTTACTTTATGCCCAAATAACATTGAAATTTGTTTTACACGCGCCACAAGTTTGTTTCTCGATCGACGCATAAAAGGAAAGCTAAAAGAAGCTGTTTGGGTCGCGGTAATATAACTCTTCTCGTAAAATCACCGACCCTCTTATTCTACAAAGGATAGAGGCAATAAACCAACAAATGGTTCCTCGATCAACGAAGAGGGTCTAACAAAATATAAGCCTTAAAAATTTGAAATTATTAGAATTCTTTTCATTACCTGATCTCCCATTCCTGTTATAATCGGCGTATTCCAATAATCAGCTAATCTTGCCACTGGTTCCAAAGCAAACATACAAGCCGGTCCTATAAACGCGATGACATCGTCTCGAAAATGCATATCAGCCGCTAAACCTGGTGCTCTAGCACCACTACAAGAAGGATAACTGAAAATATAAGAAATAAATTAAATTAAATTAGTTATTAAGACTTTTTGGTTGATATTAAAAAAGTTTTATTAAAGAGAGAAAACGAATCTTATATACAATATATACAGTAATAATCCGGGTGTCCCTTGAGGCATCAAAAGAAGGTTGAAATTCAATTTGCCGTCCCGACGAGATGTATACATATTAAAATTGGGACGTCGTGACACTGAGAATAATTCTGAGAATAATCAACTTTGTATATAAAAAAAAAAACTTTTAGAATCTTGATTCCAAGTTACTAGGATAAACTTTGATGGATCACTTTTGTTTGTTACAACTTGAAATTAATCGACACGAAGTTGTATAATCAAATTCGAAGTTTATTCGCGTTTATTTTTTTATTGAATGTATTAGGATGTGGCAATAAAGCCCTATATAGAGTCGATTTGGGTGTCTTTGTAACGAACGCTTCTTAGGATATTAAGTTAGATGGTATCGCAACGGAATATGATTACGGAGGGGGTCCTCTATAAACCTTGAATGCCGGCACGTCTTACAGATTTCATGAATAATTGATGTAAGCTCATTATGAAAATTTAGAAAATCTTAACAAGGAGGTCTTATGTAAAACGTGTTACTTACGAAGGGAAGGGAAAAGATAATCAATGTAAATTGGTTTAAAAGATTCGATTTAGATCGTCTTTAAATAACTTGGAAAGTAGTTGGTTTTAAAAAGCTCTGTTTTTTTTTCTTTAGTCGTTATCGTTATGATTTAAAGAAGGGCCTAAAAATACTTAATTTTTGCCAAAAAACGTTGACGTTGATGAATTTAAAAGGAAATATCTCGAAAACGAAAGCCAATAGGATAAAAGACTGCTCTTTATTTTAGCTTTTAAATTAACTTTTCTACCAGAAAAACATTTTAAAGTTTAAACGAAAATCTTCTTAATGTACTGGAAAATGAAAAAAATAAAAGTTAATCTCACGATCTTCACTGTTTCGGATGGTGTTTATTAACAATCATCTTTAAAGAAAATCTTATATGCTAGTGATATAGGAAAATGATTAGTGAATCAAAAGATAAGAATAACATTTTTTCATATTATCCTTTCTTTTTGACATATTCACTTTGAAACTCTTAATTTTTGCAACAAACTGACTTTTATGGATTTAGAAGGGAATATCTCGAGAACGAAAACCATTGGAACAAAAGACTGCTTTTTATTTTCGTTTTTAAATTATTTTTTCAACCAGAAAAACATCTTAAAGTTTAAGCGAAAATCTTCTTAATCTACTGGAAAATGAAAAAAATAAAAGTTAATCTCACGATCTTATTCACTTTTTCGGAGGGTATTTATTAACAATAATCTTTAAAGAAAATCTTATATGCTAGTAATATAGAAAAATGATTATTGAATCGAAAGATAAGAATAACATTTTTTCATATCATCCTTCCTTCTTGACATATTCATTTTGAAACTCTTAATTTTTGCAACAAACTGACTTTTATGGATTTAGAAGGGAATATCTCGAGAACGAAAACCAATAGGATAAAAGACTGCTCTTTATTTTCGTTTTTAAATTAATTTTTCTACCAGAAAAACAGTTTAAAGTTTAAGCAAAAATCTTCTTACTGATCTACAATATGAAAAAAATTAAAGTTAACCTCATAAAACTTACGATCTCATTCACTTTTTCGGGGGGTATTTATTAACAATAATCTTTAAAGAAAATCTTATATGTTAGTGATATAGAAAAATAATAATAATAATAATAATAACTTTATTCAGGCTTCATCAAGTACAAACTTAAAAAAAAAAGTATTATACATATACAAAGGTAAAGAAAATGATAAGTACATGCCACAGTAAAATAAAATACATTAAAGCCTGAATTTAGGCGGAGTTCAAGTAACACCGGTTCTACCACTCAAACCTAAATCAAAAACAATAATAAACTAAAAAAAAAATTAAAGGACAACTGAGCACCGTCATAGGCTAATGTCAAACATGCACAATAGTTAGCCACACATACTATACCATAGAGTGTCCAAATGATATAATACAAGAATCTCATCCCCCGAGGCCACCAAGCACGAGCCCACAGTCACACACGCAAAACCCAGTCCCGCAAAGATTTCTTAAATCGGTTCAAGGGTAGACCCACTAAATGTTTAGGAAGATTATTATAAACAGATGTAATTTGATATGAGAAGCATCTCTTAAAAAATTCCAAACGATGGGAAGGAGGAGTTAACCTACCCCTGAACCGGATATTGACATTGTGTACGTCCGTTCTAAAGTTAATTCTGTCGAATAGATAAGGGGGGCTCCGCTCCGTAATAATCTTATAATAAAAACATGCTTTGTGAACATACCGACGCGACTTCATATTCATCCATTCAAGTTTCTTAAAAGCAAAAGAGACATGATCGTACTTTCTTAACCCAAAGATCAGCGGGACACAGGAATTCTGGAGCTTTTGAATTTTCTGTTGATGGCGGGAGTCAATAAATGAACCATAGATGTTATCACAATAATTAAAATGTGATAAGACAAGAGAGTCACACAAGAGTTTTTTAACAGAATTATCAAGGCAATGTCGATTACTGAAAATCAATCTCAGAGAGCCATAAGCCCGCTTCAACAGCATATTAACATGTTCCCTAAAGTTTAGTGACTCATCAATAACCAGGCCAAGGTTCCTAACAGATCCACTCAGAGGAAGAAGCACATTTCCCAGCGAAATGTGATAGAATCTGTCGATAAAGATTTTTTTCAATTTAGTAGGACCAAATAGGACCATTTGAGTTTTCCTTTCATTAATTCTTAGACAGTATTCCCGAGCCCCATTGACAATACTAAATAGATCACGCTTGAACTCATTAAGTCCTTCTTCAAAATGGCTTTCAGGGAAGGACAGGTAGATCTGAGTGTCATCAGCATAATAATGAATTTTACAAAAATCAACAAAACTATTAAATTTTATAGTATAAATCTTAAACAGGGTGGGCCTCAATACCGAGCCCTGCGGCACCCCAGACTCGATCTGCAAAGGTTCCCAGACGTTACCATCAACACAGACAGATTGAATTCTACCTTTAAGGTAATTGGAGAAAAAATCTAGCGCAACAGGGTCGGCACCAATATGTTTAAGAATGGACAGTAATAAATTATGGTTAAGTGTATCGAATGCCTTCGAAAAGTGCAGCAATCCTAACAGGGTCAAGTTATTGGAGTCAGTAGCTATGACAATGTCATCAACTATGTTATTCAGAGCAGACTCACATTCATGTCCCACCCTGAAGCCAGACTGGTTCACCGGAATTATGCGCTCGGAGTCCAGGAAGTCAGTCAGCTGGCTGTTAACAATCTTTTCCAAGACCTTGGACAAGGAACACAATATACTTATGGGCCTCAAGGAAGAATAATCAATGGGATTAGACACTTTAGGTACCGGAATGACAATCGACTTTTTCCATAGTGAAGGAAAAACTCCCTCCAGTAGACAAGTATTAATTATGTTTACTATATGAGATAAAATTACAGGACAAGCCAGTTTAATAAAATGAATTCCAATACCATCCGCACCAACAGCATTCGACCTTACGCCCTGTAATATCCCTGTATCCCTGTAATATTCATGATAGAACTTTCGGAAATGAGGCTAAATTTAAAGATATTAGGGCCAAACTTAGAGTTATTGAAAACGTTTATCAGGTTATCAACTCTACAATCACCAAAACACTGGGACTTCAAAAAATGTCGTTTAATTCAGAACAATTTTTTAAGCTATTTGGCAAGGAATGATCCTGAAATTTTAGTAAATTATTTCGACGAAGCACTTTCCACGGATTAGTAGAATTTTGGATTTCCTGAGTCATATAGGCACGCTTCTCATTTTTAATAGAATTATTCACAAGATTCCTCAAATCCTTATAATAATTCCAATCGGCCAGACTCTTTGTTCTTTTAAATTTAGAAAGGGCTTTATTTCTTAAGTCCCGCATAAGCCGAACACTATCAGTAAGCCACGGGCATGGGACGTGGTCACCAGAAACCTTTACCAGCGGGGCAAATCTATCAATAGCCAAAGTTAACAAACAATTAAATAAATCTACTTTCTCATCAATATCACGTAAGTAAAATATATTGTCAAAAGGAAGAGACCGCAAGAAGGCCAAAAAAAGGGACAGGTCAAAATATTTCAGAGATCTAACATACCTAGAGGAGGCAGTTGGCTCGAAGGATAAATTGAACTTGCAAGAAACGAGCTCATGATCACTCACATTGTGGACAGAAACAACATATGCCTCAACGATAAGTTCATGTAAGTTGCAGAAAATTGCATCAATTAGGCTACACTTAGTGGCAGTTATCCTAGTCGGCTGATCAATGGTCAATCAAAGTTCCCAAGCATCGTCAGAAACTCATCGCAGTGTGCGTCAGCCAAATCAAGCAAGTTAATATTGAAGTCACCACACAAGACACAGAGATCATAGCAGGGACGGATTAAGGAGAGCGTGATTTCCAGCTCGTCAATATAAAACCTTTTCTTGTGCAATTCCGATCTATAACTGACACCTAAACAAATTTTTACTTTACTTACAATGAAGGATATCCAGCATTGCTCAATTGAATTATTACTTTCCAGCAAAGTAGATTTCAATCCGTCCTGCACGTATATTGCAACCCCTCCCCCTCTACCAACACGATCCTGTCGATAGAGACGATAGCCAGGGATGCTATCCATATCGCTAGAGATATCTGCTGAGAGCCAACTTTCAGATAAAGCAAAAATGGAAAAGTTATTTTCCAGGATAACGTGACGTACACAGTCAAAATGAGCCACGAGTGAACGGACATTCAGGTGAGCAACAGCCAACCCGCAAAAAGTAGCCATGAGAGAGAGACTCAAAAAAATTAAATAATAAAAAATGAAGCAACAAATAAAAAAAAAATTAATAAATAAATAATAATTCAAACAAACAAAAGTAATCTGCGAACAATGCCTCCGCT